TGCAATTAGGGAGGAAGTGAGCAGGAAATATATGATACAGAGAAAGCCAGGCTGAAAAAAACAGCAAATCTCCAAAGGCGTGTGATATCTCTGTCTCACGGAGTGACAGCCATGAATATTAGAATGTGTTTTAGAAGTGACAGGAAGCAGAAAGCTAATTGTTTACACTATCTTATAAAGTAATTTTAGTTAAACTGACATGTTGTGCTAAAGTAAATTTCAAAATTTAATAAGTATTAATGTTCATAATAGTTATCTAAATGACTGATGTGAATCCAACAGCAACAGGAATTTTTATAATTAAAGCTTGACAGGCATATTTAAAAAAAAAGAGAGAACAAGTGTCAGGCAATATTTCTACGGCCTAATTGGCAACAGGTTTAGAGACAAAGCTGTTCTTATGTTGACCACTTGGTTCCACAGCAGTAGGCTGGACTCAGGCATCCATCTTGCTAACAAGTTGGAAGCCAAGTTATGGGCAGGAGGCAACAGCCATAGATCAGCAGATATACACACATACGTACTTGAATAAAATGTTAGTGTTTTATAGTTTCTATTTTTAATGAATCCCGTGTTTATTAAACCAGCATGCTTGATTACATGTGGCGGTTAAGTACAGCACCCACCTTACAAGGGTCTGCTTAATTAATCCAGAGAAAGCATGAAATCAAAAGCCTTCCTTCCCGGTCGCGTTGAACCTGCCCGGTCATGACTGCTGTTTGACCAAGTGCTACTCAAAGGCCCGTTTCATCTGACTACTAAAGAGAAAGTGCCTTTTGTTGTGAGTAATGACAGAAAAGGAGGTTCAGAATGACAGTTCCCTGGGCGGAGTGAGAGAAAAGGCCAGGGTGCATACGCGCTGCAGAGCAGGGAGAAGCCGGGGTGACGGCAAAGCCTTTCATGGGGCCCCCGACGCGGAATAAGGAGGGGACACTAGGGAACACTATAGCGAATAAGGAGGGAACACTAGTGAACACGATACGGAATAAGGAAGGAACACTATAGGGAATAAGGAAGGAACATTAGGGAACGCTATAGGGAATAAGGAGGGAACACTATAGGGAATAAGGAGGGAACACTAT